TGTCTCGACTGGCAATAATAATTGTTTCGGGGCATCGATCTATCGCGGTAGATCGATATCATCGGCGCGCATCTGTTTCGCGTCTCTTGCGGTCTAGCGTCTTATTGGTCATTCGATACGCTCGTCAACATCGTTTATCGTGTTATTTGAATTTTAATCAAATTCCATATCTATTCTCTCTCTCTCTCTCTCTCCCTCTCTCTCCCCCCCCTCTCTTCGTTTTATTTATTATTCCTTTAATCAAGGAATTTGAACGATAGAAGAGACGTAATTATTCTCTGCTAAAACTATATTTTATTTCTCCAACGCAACAACGTATTTTTAACGACGAGAACGACGTTAGTTTGTTTAAGATATATTTACACAGCACGAATACACGTTTCGAAGAAGTGACGATGATAATAATAAGTCTCGATACTTGCGGGATTCTGGAAGAGAATCAGGCTCTCGATCTCGTTCGACTCGTCCAAAAATCTTTGCGACTTTCAAAGATCGAAAGGGTGATTTATATGCATGCCCACGTTTACGATCCTATCGAGTTAACTCGAAGGTAACCTATCAAGAGTAAAGGTACCTCGGTCTCTCCGTGAGACCAGTAAGGAAGCCTCGTCATTGGTGGAAAGGGATGGCCAACGATGTCCCGGGCAGAGGCAGAAAGGCGTTCGCCAGTCTCTTCTCGACGCTCCGAGTCAAAACGTTCCGAGGGCCCTCGTCCGGTCGGCTCTGCCTTCCCTCCTCTCTACACTTGTCAAAATATTTCTCGCACCTTTCCCCGTCCATCCTCTTTCTCCTTTATATCACATACACCCTCTCCTGCAATATTTTTCAATTATTCGCGGATCGACGACGTCCCGTCGGCTTACGAACAACCGTGGTGAAATTTAATTGTATAATAATATATTCCTCGGATTGTAAACAGATCGCGTATTTGTATTTCGCTCGAGTTGAAAATATTGACGCTCGACGTCGAGGCCAACGACACGTTGTGGGGAAAAGTTGACGAGTACTCGACGAAAAATCGTTGTTAAAATCGTAGTCATTTTCGTCGAGTGGGCAGAGTGACACCAAGTTTAAGTTTAATCGGTGCCTTTTTCCTCCGTTCGAAAAATCTCCGTTCGTGAAAGAAGCCGGGATATATATTAAAAGCTACTCGAAGGGATCGAAGGGATCGTGTTACTCTGTTCGACCAACCACAGCCGGCGAATGTTCCACGCTCGACTCGTGGACTGAAAAGGTATTTAAATATTTACTTCCTCGCGAGTCTCGATTTTCTCGTGTTTATTCAACCGGTCGAAAGCGCTTTGCCGCGAATCCGAGAGTAGTTTAGAAAACTCGGTGCTAACGACAAAGGGCAAAGATCGGTCGATTTTGATTCGTAAAATATCGTTATTTCGAAAATTTCTCAACGATATCTCCTCGTTACACAAACGAATCAACAATTTAATCTCGAAAAGCTACGATCTAGCTGTTGCTCGTCCACAATTTCGATAACACGATGAATTATATGTATATATATACGAATATATATGCACGCGAAAATCGGGATTCTGGTGTTTCGCGTAATCGGATGAATCATTGGCTATCGACGAATAATTCGTGGCTGACTCAGAAACCGATCGCGTCATCCACCATAATAAAAATAAAACGCCGTTGGGAAAGAAAATCCGCTTTCGAGAGCGGATATAAAACAGGAATATAGGAAGATTCGTATGAGGAACGTGTACGAAGAAATGGGAGGACGTTTTTTAGAGGCGCGGGTAAAAAAAGATTCCTCCCCCGGATCGTCGAATATTCGATCCTCGTAGATCGCAATCGTCTCGACTCGAGCGAGTGGCGCGAGTTTCGGCCTAGCGTGAAATCGTTCGATTTCTTCTTTTCGGGCGAAGAGAGGAGGAGGAGGAGGTTACAAAAATTCAATTTGTCGGCCGCAGCGACCTCGAGGCTGCACTTTCACTTAACCACCCACAGAAAAGCGCGGCAACAGCTGCCTCTCGCTCGTGATATTCTTCGAGTTTCAAGGGTAGGGAGGATGCCAAGGGCTTCCCTGGCAGCTGACACTGCAGATGGGCTACACCTGCCTCCAACTATTTACAACGCCGTTGTCTCTTGGAGAAATCGAGCGCACGCTTCATTACACCTCTCTCTCTCTCTCTCTAACTAAAAATATTGGATGGAGGAGAAGTTGGCGAGGAGAGAGAGATGGCGGCATTACAATTAGTTCATTCATCGAACGCGTACGTATTAAATTTCCACACGACACGCGGCGATGTGTTGCCGAGAGGAGGAGGAGGAGGAGGAGGCGAGGTTTATCGGGCAGGCGCCAACTGCTCGTCGCTCCTGGTTGTAACCCGCGAGATACACTCTGTTAGCCGCGCGTACGATCGTGAGAGCGTTTATTATTTCATCGTAGGGATGCACGCGCCTTCTCCCCGTTCGAGAATAGACTCGAATTTGACTCGAGCGATTATTTATCGATCGAATATCGAACAGTCTTTCAATCGCTCCTCGGTTTATTCGTTCCCTTTTCGACGAAGTGCGAAAAGGATCAGCGGGTCGAGGCTAAATCGAGCGAAGCCATCGTCGATTGCTCTAATGCGATAATAATAAACGAAAAGGTTATTTCGAAAATCGATACGATACCCGCTGCTTTTATCCATCCAACGATCATTCGTTAATGATTGGAATTGATATTCGTCGATCATATTTCCCCATTGCTTTATCACAATCACAATCTTTTTTTTTTTTTTACCTTACCATTAGCTCTCGACTTAAAATTCAACGAGAATTTCGACTCGAACAAATTTCCTGTTGAACAATCTCCGTGGACTCCGTCGTTCATTATCGAAACTGTGTTTCCACCTTTGTTTCGTGGACCCACGCTTTTCTCTTACCTCTGCAAAGGTAAACTGGATCGTGTCGTGATCGACATCGATTTAAGCTCATTTGGCCTCTCGATAGTGGCGCCCTCCCCTCTCTCTCTCTCTCTCTCTCGCG